ATGTTTGTATTATTTGAAAAGCTTTTGATATTTACAACTAACCTGACAACTACGTTATTTCCCCTGACTTTAAGTTTTATTGTAAGTAAACAGATTATACATTTACTAAGTAAAATATCTATTAGCGGCCTGTCCTAGAAAAAACAAAGAAATTTATTTCCAATGTCTGTAATATTAGAAAACTGACTAATTATAAATACAAAACCTTACTACATCTGAACTCAAAAAGTATAGTCTGCTAACACAATGTGAAAGTGAAACCACTTTTCGAGTCCAATAAACAAATTAATTTGATCAATACACTTCCAGTGCTTAGTTTTCATGACAAAATTCGAATAGTATAACTGATATTCATATACTTATTTGCATAGTTCGATTGTAGTAACACACAAAATGTTAAGAGAAGGTTCATAAAATTGTTGTCTGATGTCGAAAAGCCGATACAATCAGAAGAATATCAATGTTTTGTTACTTATACGTTTAGTTGGAAGGATTTAGATGTGCACAATTTTCACTGTGGCTATATGTGGTGTTTAAATAAATCAATGACTTCTTAGTATTGATGACTGTTGTAATTTTGAATTCCAAATACAATACATTCGTTCGAGTTCATCTGATACTTCTTGATTAAATTGCGTTATTCCTGGGATTACTAGTTCATACTACAATTCAAATACTTCTAATTATCATATTGGCGTCGCGACTGAGCCTGTGATGGAACGGTTAAATATAAATTCAGATTTTAATGCTTTTGAGAAGTACATGGAAAGGTTCGAAATCTGGGCTATGACCAAAGAAGATGATGATGATTTTAATATTGTGGCCCATTTCCTCACATTCATCGGGAAAGAAGCATACAGCCTTATAAAGATTTTGGCACTTCCAGACAAACCGATTTCACTCCCGTATGCAACTCTCAAGCAACTTCTGTTGGATCATGTAAAGTATACAAATTCCGAATGTGGTAAGAAAGGAAAATCCGATAAAATGACTCGTCAGAACATCAGGAATTCCACTTATTCAAACAGTCGTCGTAGTTCGATGCGTAATCAAGTTTATTCAGATAATACTTCATTGAGTTGTGAAACAGTCCATGATGATGAGCACAAGTTTAGTAAATGCATGTTCTGCGGCAAGTTTCACCCATGTAATTCATGTATATTTCGTAATTCTAAATGCTTTAAATGTGGTATAACTGGACATATTCAGTCAGTTTGTAATACCATGGTTCATTTCGCTGAAAGTAATGCTAAGATGGATGCTTCTAATGATCAGTTATCTTTATCTAGAAGAGGTATAACGTTATATAACAGTCCAGAGTTGAATGAAACCCAGAGTCATTGGGAGGCGAAAATTCTCAACCAATCAACTTATCAGATTTCTCATGTTATTGTGCCAGATATGGTTTGTCGTAATAATTCACATACTTCTGATGTAATTTTTTACAACTCTGAGAATAGAATGTTAAATGAGTCAAATCATGATCAAAAACCAAGTTCAGTCATGGTAGATGTTGAATTCCCTGATGATCCATTACCTAATGAAACTCTTAATCAATTTGAGGAAAATATTTCAGAAGAATCGAATTCTGATATCATATCAAGTGTCAGTGGTCCTCATAATGAATTTATCTCTAATGATATTCCTCATGAATGTGAAAAATATGTTTCTTATGAATTGAATTCTAGTCATATTTCTGATGTTATTGTGTCATATGTTGGATACTCTCACGAACAATGCATGTTGAATAGAATCCCTAGTCAGGGGTATAATGATACAGAGAGGATAGCAAAATTTTCCGAAGCAACCAGAGAACCAGTTTGCCCAGAAGTGAAGTTTGCACAGACAGAGAATCCAAATCAAGTCCAAGATTATCCTAATGAATATGAGGCAGATGAATGTTTTCTATTCGATTGTTTCGCAGGTAAATCAAGCCTAGTTGAATCACATGTGTTAATTACATATATCAATGCATATCCATCTGTATATTCTAATATGAATAACAAAAAGTATATGTATCATGATTTTTATTCAAATCAAAGTCACATGATGGAATACCTCAAATTATATATCAGTGTTTATTCCCAAATACTCATATACAGTAGTCGATGCGTGAGATTTGAGAAGATACTGCAAATTGGGAACGTCATATTGGTTAAAACATTGCGACATAAGGACCCAACATTATTTCGTGGGGGAGGATATTGTTGGAAAACCCATGATGCAAATTCTAAATATCAATGGTTTCACTACAAAGCCGGCATGCTGATTGTATACAATTCCAGAACCCAGGTGAGTCTGTTCCAATTTTGGTTGTTAATTCTAATACTAATGAGTGCATTCTAGATAATACAGAGTCTACATCCAATACACTTTCGGACCGATGTAAGATGAATTTAAGAAGACGAACAATCGATTACAGACACTTACACTCCAATTCAAGCTGTGGCGGTTGTGGTGTTTAAATAAATCAATGACTTCTTAGTATTGATGACTGTTGTAATTTTGAATTCCAAATACAATACATTCGTTCGAGTTCATCTGATACTTCTTGATTAAATTGCGTTATTCCTGGAATTACTAGTTCATACTACAATTCAAATACTTCTAATTATCATACTATATTATTCATAACCCATAAACAGCTTATAAACAAACTTCTTGCAAGCAAAGGTGTTCAGGTCCAATTGTTTTCGAATATTTGGTTAGTAACAAAAAATCTATTACAGCTACTTACAGAATAAGAAGAGATGGGTAAAATAAAATTCATATCGTTGTTCAGACTATACGCTGATTGAAATGTAATCACTAATGTTCCTTGAATTTCTATCATAGTACCTAGTTTATTGTATCTAATAGTTATGTTGTTTTTTGTCATTTAAGTTTTTCAGTAAGACACGCCGACACGGTGGGAGTAAATCGTTTACTAGAAAGAATTTTTCGATTAATACTCGAGATCTGGTAGTCTGTGTATACAATCAATTATTCATGTGGGAATGTGGCCAGTCCTTTGGTGAAGGCCTTCCCAAAAGTCCCTTGGCGATAAATGTGGTAAAATAATCTTTGTCTAATTCTTCATCACAAACGGTTGATCTCGTTAGGACAAGTTATCATTGTACAATGTCTGTATAATTTCCAACTTTTACGGTCAGACTGGGACTTCATATGTTGGCATATTGCCACGAACGATATTCAATATCCCGGAACAGTATGTAGATGTCCTCTCAGATTCCAGAAAATTACAAAACGAATGAAAGCTAATATCGTCTGCTCAATTTCTTGGCTGAATAAGACTTTCAACTCTGCTACTGACACTGTCTAAAGTAGAAAGGCTTCAATGCATGACGAGATGAAAGGATTCATCAAGGGAAACAACCACTTTCACAGAGCACAGCATGCCTTAAGAAAAAACAGGTCTTGTTCAACAAACACTGTGTTAGTGTGACTCAGTATAACAGTTTGCTCTAATTGGAAACTCTGTACATGTTTTACTGATAAAATTCGCCGAACGACTAGATGAAGTCCTGGGCATCGTTGTGATAGAGTTAGGTTTCCAGATCCACTGTACTATCATTTAAGGAACTATCAAAATGATCAAGCCTTGTGATTGTAGCGGTAAATAAATCCCCAAAATCTATACCTCTGTAAGTGTTCGACATTGGATGCTTACCACATTAGTTTTAATAGACCCATCTAGCTGAAGGCATTCGGTCATGCATCCGCACTTGATTAGGAGTGCAAATGCCATGCTCAACTACTCCTGCGATCACTAGACATTTTAGGTCACTCACTTCTCGATATATTGGTAATGTATCAAACATATCTTCCAACCTCCTCGCTACTGACTTTCTATTTCACTAGTTTGGGGCGATTCAATTAAAGAGGGTGTTACTGGTAAGGTGTTGTCAAACTATGATACCTGTGGCATATTTATGATCAAATGTTAATGGGGTACAACCAAACTGATGGGCGTCGATGCTTGAAGCATCACAAGGAGTAATACTGACGCACTAATTTCCAACATCTTTATCAACAACTTTCTAAAAAAACCTCATTTCATCAGTTATCATATATGCAGTGAAAATAGAGCAACGAAAATTTGTATGACGTGGAGGTGATTCACATGAATTTCTAAAGAATCTTGAACTACTTGGATCGTGGACAGAGAACAACAGTTTGATATTCAACCCACATATATAGCAAACCATACTGTAATGAATTACAGAGGACAAATTTTTTAATTTGATATCATCGTCTTTTTTTGGATCTGTGGAGGATTGAGACCTTTGTATCTTGTTACCGAAGGTTTGAATACTAACGATAGCTCACTGAGAGATCCAGCTAAAGCCTATATAATTCTCCACTTCGTTCAAACATAGCCAGTCATCTTGATTTCTGAGCCTTTTCAACAATATTTAAGGTCCATAATCATTTCAAAACTCACTGGATTGTCTCACACTTCCTCATTAGAAGGAATGTAAATCACTTAGAACAATTACAGAAACGCATCAAAGTTTTATACACAGAGGACGAATTCTATGACAACTGTATTACTGCCTGAGACTGTTTTTATTGTCTATCATAGAATGAAAGTTGGCATTGTAATGGTGAACTATGCAATGCATATAACCCTTATAAAACAATATGACTATATTCATTACTGAAACTGTTCGTCTAACCCTCGACAGCTTGTATATAAACATTTAAGCATTCAGGATGAGTAACATGTTTTAACGACGGGTTTGTCCTATATGAAACCCTCGTTCAGTGGACAGTCACAGAAGACTTGACAACTATATGCTCAATCCAGGCTCATCACCTCTCTCGTGGACTAATATTCAAATATTTACAGTGACGTGTAAAGACCTATATGCGGGTGTTTAACATCTATATAATATTCCGTATTCACGCATTCTACTGTTGTTTTCACCGTTCTTATTTGTCTATTTGTTTAGTCAATCAACTTATTTATATTGATTGACCCATTTCACTCCACCACATTCTGTCCTTGTGCTACAACGTCATATTGTAGAAAACCAGTCTCCTGTTTGGCGAGTTGATAGAGACTGGTTTCGTCAAAGTATTACCCTGAAGCAAGAGCACTCAAATGAGGTTATAAAACATTTAAATTAAAACTCTTATACATGACATACCAACACACAATTAACTGTCGAATCGACGGAGATTAGTCTAGTCGAATGACTAGAATAACTTCATTTGACGCTACTTAAGATCTTAAATGTACACCAAAATCAGTATGTCAGAGAAAATAAGTCGTCTACTTTACACAGACCTCTACCAAAAATATTGGATATTAAACTTTTACCTTATGCAATAGAGCGATTCCGCGACTTTTCAATTCTTGAATATGTTTACGCTTTTCCCTTCTGTCTTACTGTATGTTACTTTACTTCCATTACATCAAACAATAACATTTTCCACATTGCCATCAAATATAACTCTGTCTGGATCCTATCTCAAATTATCTTGTTCCTCTGAAAACCAAATATTTCCCATTATTTGGAGTCATAATGGCAAGGAAATAGCAGAAAACTGTCGATTCTATATGGAAAACCATCGTTACATTTGCAACAGACTTAACGATGTATATGAAATTTACATACCGAACGTCAAATTCGAGGATAGGGGTAACTGGTCTTGTGCCCACGGTGCAAAATCCCAAAAAGTTATCAATATTGATGTTTTGGGTGAGTATTTGCATTCCTTCTTGTTCAACCTTGATTTCGGACAAAGATCGGCATTTTTTAAATAGTACTGATCCAATAGGCTTCTTAGTCGTAGTTCTAGAGACTGCGTACTGTACTCCGAGCCACAATGTTACGTTGTTTACTCATGAGTAACATAATGAAGTATCTAAATCCCACGAAACAAAGACAGTATTTGGTGGTCGGTTAGTGAGAACCGGGTATATACGAGCATCGTTTTTGTAATAGTTGATTTTAAATGTTTTTCGCCTTTTTGAAGTGAGGATCTGTAATTATTTTCACTTAATGATGAATATATACACTACTCACTACTAGTTAAGTCACTACTAGTTAAGTGAAATTATGTCTTTGATAAGTAAAATACCTGCTCCATGCTCTTGAAAGCAGTATTCAGGTTCTTGTTTTAGGCGAATTACACTGGCAATGGACAACATTCTTCAGGTGTTGAATCCGTTTTCTTTTTCAATTAAGGTTTCATTATTTGTTTACTTAAAAGGACATGCGAATTAATGAAAGGTAAAATAGCTATTAGTCTGGTTTGATTACCACAAACAGACCCTCGACTTGTGAAACATCTCGAATTGATAGATATTTTCCGAAGATAATACGTCTTGACAAGTTATATACTGTAAACCAGGTTCATTCATATTAAAGTTTATGGTCGGATCTTTCGGTTACAAAATAAGAATCTTCATTTGAGCTCCCATTGACTGTGTATTGCAATTTGGGCGGGTATCATGAAGGTCTAGCAGTTTATAAAAAAACTACTAGCTTTGGGATCCTGCTGTTATTTTCACTACCTTGTCTCCATTTTGAGAAGTCAGTTCATTAACTAGCAGTTTATTTGGCTTCAATGAGAATCCGTTAGGTTCTGTTTTCCTCGTTCCTATGCTAGTAAATTCATGGTAGAAATATAATTGTTATCCACCGGTGACGTCGGCTGAAAAAAATATATGTTTTACTACTTATCTGACATATCTCAACGCGTTTTTAGGCAGAGTTGGATGGTAGCTAGCAGTAGAGTCAAGAACAAACATTATGTCCTACTTGAGACTCGTCCGATGGATAGGTCTCCATTTCCCTGCTGGTGTTTCTACTAGTGTGCGTTTCAAAGTCCCTTTTTGTCGACATCTGATTTTTGAACTGGAATCGAGTAGCTTGGATTTTTACGGACATTTTTATTTGTGGAGTATGATCGGCATTAATGCAAATTTTGCTAACGAAGATTTCTTAAAGCTAACAACTCCTCACCTGATATGTCTTTGGATCCATTTTATTGGACTAGAAGAATAATCGACTGCATACTGAGTGTCAGCTTGATGCCCTAACTTGTAGCTTTGTAACGCGGATATTTGGCATTTCATCTCATACTTGATAAATTAGATGACAGAAATATATGTTGCAAGCACAAATATACAGACTTCTGTCCAGAGCAGAGATAGGCGCGATTGCCGACTATTTTTAAGCTGATTAAGAAGTTGTGACAATCTGGAAACGTCTATAGAATGTTAGCAGTTGATGATTTGTAATATTAGGTTGAGCTTCAGACTCTCACATTAGTTTAACCACATTTGTCCCCCATTTTACTCTAAAATATGGACATCTTATGAATTTTGATTGGCTTTTACTTTTTAGATTCGTTATTGATTATCTAAGCAATTTTCATCTTTCCGCTTTTCTCTTTCCTGTTTCTTTTCAACAAAAACAATTTCTCTAGAGTATACCTCATGTTGGTTTAGGTAGCCAGATATTTTGGTTTTTGTTGATTCACCAAATGACTTCAATACCGCGAAGGTATTACCACGCCACTTCATATGAAATTTTGAAACCTACTTGTGTTGCTTAAGAGGCGAGTGAATCAGTAAATTATCACCCTTTATATGCGAGAGGCCTACAAACATTTTTTCGAAACCTTTCCAGCACAGCTTGATCAATTAAATTACTAGACTTCTTAGGACTACGAGTTTGCACCTGGTTGATGAGTTAACATGAGTAATAACAGTCTTTTTAAAAGCCTAACATTAAAAAGCAAGCACTTTGCTGAGTTTTATTGCCATACTGTGGTAGAAACTCACTAGACCTCTAGAGTAAGGAGAAACAACTGTTTTGATATATCCTATATATCTACATAATCATTAGTTTATATTAGGATAGAGTTTGGTTAAGATTTAACTGAAGACGATATTATTCTCTTACACGCTGTTCCAGTGAACCAAGTTGTTTGACTGGAATACTTTGTTTACTAAGCCATGTAAAATTTAGAGATTTTCTGAAAACAAAAGCCAATTGTACCCGATAATCAATATTTATTGATGATCGTTAACTAAAAGATGGGAAATGCATGCTGATTAATTATAACTAATTCTTTGAAAATGGAGAAAACTAAGCATTTATTGTACCTAATCTCGGCAAATACTTCTAACTAGACACAAAACTGTATACCCGTTACTTTAAAACATGGACTTTGTTCATGAAAAACAGGTAATCTTATGTTTCCTATATCACTTATATGTGTTAGACTGGTCAATATAATGTAGTGTTTTCGTGATATAATTGATTTACTTCCTCAGCGCCGAACGATAGCGAAAATTGTTTGTCAACATATCGGTTTTCAACTAGGGTGTATTTACGTGTTTGTCATAAGCTCCTACTGATGTATTAAACTAGATCTCTAAATTATGAAAAATTCATAAATCAATTAACTGTTAGACAAGAGCATTTTACCCGTAGCTGTTACTATTTTCCTCATATTTATAAGTGGTTAACAGGTCGGCTGGACTTTAACTTTGTTCACAACAACTTAAAAAACATTAGTTTGATTCTGAAGCCTTATGAGTGTTCTAATAATGATGTCAGATGACTAACATATCTGTCTGAGGGTATTTAGATTTTTAGAGAAAGAGAAATGCTGTAACCTCTGATAACGGTATCGTTGTGATGTATACAACTGCATGTGAAAAGCATTGGTAAACGGTTCAAATCAGCTACTTAACTCAAAATCAACAGGCAAAGATATTGATGCAACTGACGTAGACAAACATCCCATTCAAATGAAACTCGTTTTACTCCAAGTTATATTATTTTTAATCTTTCGTTGAATGCTGAAGACAAAGTATCCACTACAGAAATTTTTCGAAAAAACTTAGAACTAATGGTTTAAATAGCAGAAAATTTTTCGTATACTAGTCATGCTTGGCAGAGTAGTTCACTAGCTTTATTATACAGCAAACTATAACCCCTTACACTGATTCGTAACCCTGTTTTTAACTTGGAAATTTGTTGGAGTTTCTAAAAGTTATTTAAACATCACCCTTGGTTGTTTGCAAGCCATATTCTCACTGTTGAGTTATTCGGTTCAGTATTTTATAGGGACTTTATTTTCTTAAGTGTGGTATCTATATATCTGTTTTTACTATTAACAGTCATGAAATAAAGGGACCATACTTCTGGTTGAGTTCATAAAACACTGATAACAGATGTTAAAATTTTGCAGTGGAGTAATAAGTATATTTTGTCCTATCTCTTTGACATAGCTCATTTTAATGATGTTAAAGTTTCGATACATCTCAAACATTTCCAACTCTTTAATAGCTTAGTTTAAATTGGGACATGATGGGGTGAAATTTTTTTAAGGCTTTCAGTCACTTATTGTTGGTCGTTTAATACGAATTTCCTACATATAATTTGTCAATAGATAAAGAATTTATACAAAACGTTTTACAATGCCACTTTTGTATTTTGTTCTTTCCTACCACAAGATGGGTAACAACTTTATTAGACTGTTGTTTCGAAACCAGTCTCTCCCTAAATTTCCATCAGCAGCCTATAATCTACAATAATTTAAAATCAAATTTATGCATGGAAGCTAACATGATTTATGTAAGCAAAGACAGAAGCAATAACGTATCATGAGGTGCAGTGAAGTAATAAAAAAGTTAAGATCAAAATATTGTTGCCAACAAATACTACACCCAAAAATATGATTCTAGGACATCAAAATTTTTTTGATTGGATAAGAAAGTAGCTGAAAACAGGTTACTTGCAATCAAAAATGACATGAATTGAGGTCAGTCAGTTGAAAAATGCAATCCTCCATTTGAAAACATTCAAACGATTGAATTTAAACAAGAAAAGGTGTTACAGATGATGTAATAGAACAAGGGTAATGATACCATACTATGGGATGATCTACTACTCTTCCTTCTTTAATACAAACCCAGCTTCTGGTCCTTTACATCTGTGCCTTCACGAAGCTTTAGATTATTTCCGATTGTTTAATAATCATCTTGAAACATTTCAGTGAGTTGATCTGATGCCTTGCTTTAAAGAGATATCTTGAAATGGCACTAGTGTAAATTTTATCCCACTTGATTGAAACTTTATTGGAATTTGTTTATGAAGTCGAACTTAAGCCCTTTTTCATTTGAGCCGCTGTAACTACTTTTCTAGATACATACAAAGTAATACACGATGTATCTATCTTTTATTTCGTTGAGTGACATTTTGTTTTATACAGACGGTCACTATGGTTCTAGAACAGACTATGTTTAATGTAGTTTTGATGTATCTGCTGATTCTTCATGAACCAGGATCCCCTTTGTACTTTAGTTGGACAAAAATGTACTTTATATTTATTAAAGTTTCTGTACGTTTGTGATCTCCAAACTTTCCAAATTTGCTAATTGATCTATATGAATGTCCTCTGTTCATTAGACATTTTTAACTGTCATTAAATTTTTTCGGTGTTTTACTGGCAGCATATATCCTTTCTGTTTTATGAACTAGTATCTTGACCTGTGTCTGACGGAACAAAAGTCAATAAAATTCAGCTACATTTTATTTCATGTATCTTTTCGGCAAACAGAATGTCGAATCGTGCCATCTTCCGCTTCTGCAGTACAATATTATGAAAGTGTTTAATAGTAAACTAAATATCTCCAAGCACCTTGTTAAAAAGCTTCATCAGGCGGGTTACGTGTTAT